TTCAGTACTTTTGTACTTTCAGTACTTTCTTGGTCTGAAACAGTCACAAAAACCATTCAAGCTGGACTCTAAACCAAGCTATAACCTAGGTAAACCCAATATAAAGAGATTTGCATTAAAACCAAATTAAAGATTATTAGAGTCAGGGAAGAAAGACAAATAAGCAACAAAATCATATTTTGCATATTTTATCTTTCAACATACAACATTATACAGTTGTGTCAGGGACTGAAAGGACGTAAATCTACTATGAAGCCCTAAATCTGAGGTAACAGGAACATCCTCTCCCGGTTTCCTGGCAACCAGTTAATACAAACAGAAATAAATAGCACAGAAGCTAACAYAGAATGTGCAAAATAAGAAATCTAATAAAGTTATTCTCTAGTAGAACGACTATTTTCTTCTGAAGATTTATGTGTCATCTTGGTAGCTGGATGTCTTGGTGGTTTAGAGGAACATCTGGCTGGAACACTGGAATTCACAAGAGTAACTCAAGAAACCTTCAGGATGTCATCTTCTCTCTCAGTGTAATCTGGACCCTGCTGTCTGAGTTCGCTGCAAGCAGGCCAATGTCTGACTCGGCAGGTTCTTGTCTGAATTTGATATACCATAAATCACATTGTGGTGGAAAACCTGTGGAACTTTCTAGATCTGGTATTTCTGACTGTCCAGTGGCCAGGAGACAGCCAGCTGAGGAACAGCTGTGCTGATGACAAAGCAATTGATATTTTGTGGYAAAATACTGTATACGAGTATGCAGCCAGAATCTTGCTGTACCCCAGTTTTTAAGTTTGGCCCAAGTACCGGACTAGTTATGAAAAGGAGTTTACTTTTCTTAACTATTTCATCCTGTACCAAGTGTACAATCTAAGATCTCTCCCATTTGAATTCATGTTTCACCTTCCCAAAACATGATAATCAGTCATTCAGTTTYTAAGGTCAAATGCTCTGATCACAAACAAGTAATCTCTGTGGGTGATGTATGACAGGCACAGTGTCACTTTTTTTTTTTTCTGAAATATGTGAGCAGGAAGTATTATTCTCAGTTTAATTCTGGAAAATAAAGATAAGAGCAAATAGCTTCTAATCAAGAAGAGAAAATGAAGGGTAAGTCTTTCTAGCAGCAGTGTGATAATTTTTGATACTGGAAGAAGTCATTATCTAGTATGCAAGGTTTTAATATGCAGGCTCTCCAGTCCCAAAAGTAGGGTGAAAGTGCAGTTAGAAATTAGCTGAAGCCACATTTATACCCAGCTAAGGCAAAGAGAGAATATGGATTCAGTTGATTAACTTAGTACACTAAAGCAAATCTGAACAAAAAGCCTGCAAAAGAAACAAACATGAGCTTGTTCCAGCTGCCTCCTCTGACTGAAGATATAGGTCCTCTTTGTGCTGCTGGTGCAGATCTGAGGAAGAGAAAACAAACAGGATGTTCACAGCACAGAGCTGAGTTAGGATCTTTTAAATATCAGGGGTTTGTTGCCAAGGGTGAAGTTTGTGGTCCAAGTGCTAAGCTAGACATTTCTTTATATAAGCTTGCCAACAGATTCCCTTYGGCTGTCATGATTCTATAAACAGAATATCTTTCCAAAATCCGGGGTACTCTTCTTTCTGCCTTTACACAAGAGCCTTCTAATCCCTCCATGTCCATTTGCTGTCTCTGGCCTTATGCTGTGATTTTATAGTGCTCTTCTAAACAGCAGTGGTTGTRGAGGAATGTATTTTCATCGCACGTGGCACAGCAGTATCCAGATCCACTTTKAAGTCTCCCTGACATTGCAGCAATGCAATAAATACCAGCACTGACAGGTTGCATCTGGCACCCCTCCTGCTCACATTTGTAAGCCATCTCTGCCATCTAGTGGTTATTTTTACTCATAGTTTTTTCCTAACCTCAGGGTGTCAACAAACCAAAGTCCAAATTAGACTCAGTAGGAGCACAGTTCAGTTCTGGAGAGGAGTTAAGGGTCACTACATTACGCAAGAAGCCTTAAGTACAGTACAGCACCTCCTAGGCCATCTTTCTGCTACCCTGACCCAGCTCTCTCCTYTGCTATGCCAGTGTAACAGGAGTTGTGGTGACATGAAAAGTCACTTGCCCAACTCTGATGTTTTTGGGCTCAGGACATTATTCTCTGGAGGCTGGGGGCAGCTGTCAGCCTTGTAATACCAAACAGCCCTTATGAAAGGGGAYGCATCAGAGCCTGCATGCCTGTTTCACAGTTCAGTATGGAAGTGTCAACACTGAGTGTACACTGAACACACACACTCTGCAAAGGAAACTTTTCCTAACAGATACACCCTCCAAACAGTGATACCACAACTGGTCAAACTGCCCCCATATCAGTTAATGGACCATCACAGAGCAGGATCCATCCACACAGAAAACATACCTAAGAAGATAATCATCAAATGATTTATCTGCATCTGCTTAAGGCTATTTCTGAAAGAGCAGCWAGTTTCAATGCAGGTGTTGTTATTTACTGCAGAGAAGTAAGTGATTTCGGGGAGAATGTAAGTATTCATTGGCTTGTAGTAWTTGAGTTACTTAAATTTCAGGGAGAGGCAATGATAGTTTTGCATTCAGATTGGGAAGCTCTATTGTGATTYGGGATAGATGTGAAATGAATCAAACTTATTACAGTGCCATGCATACAGGATTGAATAGAAAATGCTCATGAAGGAAACAAGCAAGGAAACTTTTCCTAGGAGGATGAGAACAGCTGAATTGCTCAGTAGTTACCCCAGGAGAGTGTGAGACTGGTGCTCCAAATACACCAGGGATTATATTACTTTAAGCACTGACATGGATGGAAAAGGAAGAGGCAGCTGCTCTCCTGCTTACACACTGCAAACACTATGTGGCAATTCTGCAGAACTGCATGGTCATCCCTTAGCTGAAAGGAAAAACACATTAATGGTTTCCAAGAACCTTCTCATCCAGTTTTCCTCAACTGAAAACTTAGAAGAAAATTATTTAAAACCTGGGAGAGGAGAAAAATCTTCTGTTGAGAGCTCATAATATTATATTTTTAAGTTCTGTGAAGTGCTTTTTCCTCCAATTTGTTAATATAGTCACTATGTCCACAGCTATTATTTTGCTGAGGATAACTGTATTTTTCCTGACATGTGAACAAAAGCCTTACCAATCAGTGGCAGAGCAAGATAGCCCGATTTTAATCCACTGTGCAAGTGGCATTTTGTAACCAATAAAAGCCTTAACAGGAAGTCTGTTYAATGATCTACTGCCTAGAAGGAGTCTGGAGCTATCAGTGATATCTATGAAACCACCATTTTCATAATATTTACATGCAGGTGCTAGAATATAATCTGGATGTACGAATAAATGTTGTTTCATGACAAGGTGACTAACAGTTTTCAGTGACCAGCWAGAACAGGGAATACTCACTTTCTCCGTAAGTATGTACTAGAAACTGGACATGTGTTACAGAAGGTGATATTCACCCCTTTTTCAGTAGTCCCTGAAGCTCTACAGCTCCTCCCCAGAGGGAGGTGAGATGGAATTGCACCTCTCTGCTGCCATAATCAGGGACAACAAATCAGGACTTTCATAGCAGAAGTTATAATTTCATTATCACATAGGTATTAACAAACAAAAAGATGCGTGTGCTTGAATGGGGAAGAAATGACAGTAAGAAACAAAGCATGGATTATCCTTAAAAATAATATAACTAGAAAACAGTGTTTATGTATCTATATATCCTACAGCGTTCCCAATTCTGAGGAAGTTCTCATATTCAGATGTTCAATGTTATGTGTACCTACATGTGCAACAGCACACAGATTAASAAACCTAATCAGAACTGCAAACAGTAATCTTTACTATAAATTCAGTGAAATACATAAGAAATTAATTCAATGCTCCTTATATAATACAGAAAAATGTGGATAAGAAGAGAGTTTGGGAGTAATGCTTGCTAATTAAGAAGTTGTGTCTTGGATGTAATCTGCAGACAACTCACTGGCCCGAGGTAAACACATTAATATGCAGAGATTAAATTTCACACAAAATGGGAGATTAAAGGAAACTTCCTCAAAATTTAGAACTGAAAATTCCAGTAGCTAGAGAAAAGTCCYGTAGATTTGTTGCCATTTGATCTATACTTTGATCATTCGAGCAATTATATTAATGAAAGCAATTTCAAATTTGTAATAGATTTTGTATCAGAACAGTGATATGTATAAACTTCTTATCTTGAATGATATACAGTGTTACAGTGTGATCAATGAGAACCCWTTAACAACTAATTTTGAACAGCAGGTGTTCACAGACAGGCGTGCACAATTTGTGAATAGAAACCACTAATTCAATTCACAGTAAGTAACAAATTGAAGAACACTGTGCATTGCATATGGGTAATACATAATAGGTGGTAGAGGTAGGATTTGTTGAATGTTGACTTCTGCATAATTTATTCAGTTGTAATGGCACTGAGGATGGGTTGGACTTCTTTTACTTACGATGAAAGGGCACACTTAGAATCATCAGGATTATCCACGCAGAGTAGGGTCATTACAGGCCTGTGAAAATATTATTTTATTTAGCATCTTTCAGGCAGACAACCAAGAAACAAAAACAAGAAAAAATGAAACAAACTCACAGTATTATCATGTTTAAAGCTTCCCTTGATTAAATTTATCTCACAGTCTATGGGAATTATTAGACCTGTGAAACCTACTGTGAATAACTGGTAATTCTGCAGACATCCAATAGTGTTTTTAACTGTTGTTTAGATTTTAAATCCAAATACATGAGTCCATCTTCTGAGTCTGCAAATGAGTAAGTACAATGTTCCATTCAATCATACAATATGAAGTAGCATTTTGCCCCATTTACAACCAAAAAATGCCAAGTCTAAAAATGTGACATCATCCTTCCAACAAACCAGACCTTCCTGAAGACACAACATTAATGGCACTTCAATGTCGAAAAGTAAGAATTAAAATAGATAAGGTGCTTCTGTAAATACATCATATTAATAAAGGATTTTCACTTACKTRTAATTGTCAGTGCAGGTGACATCATAACCAAGGGTTTTCAGCCTGGTTTCTAATGTCTTTACGCTATGAGCTCCACAGGAATCTCTATGAGGAAGGATTTCAACATTATTGCACGTCTTGTTTTATATAATTTCTTTTCACTGAATTTGATGAAATTAGTGAAGTAAATCCCCATTTCTTTGCCTCCTCTGCATCCCATAACATTGCAATTTATGCTTCATTTACTTACGTTATAGTTGTTTCACAATTTATACTCAGTTTACAAAGTCTGGAAGATTAGTTTCAGCCAGTGTAGCTTTTTCAGATTCTATTAACCAATAATCCCACATTTAATATTTGATCAGACAGAAAAAAGACCTAAATAATTTTGTAAAATATAATTGTTCTGTTCATAATATTCTTTGGCAACTGTTTAGGTAGTGATAAAGTTGATGCTACCTGTCTTTACAGAATAAGTTGGTTATAATAAATGARAATTATACTTATTAGAAGCTTTTTCTCTCTCTTGAATACTGAATAATAGAAAAATGCAAAGAGCGAGAAAAACCCCAGAAACAATCTTAAACTCTGCTCCTGTTTCTACCACTGATTTTTTAATTTGTAATCCAATTAGCATAAGAAAGTTTAGCATAATACAGAACCTACTGAGACCTCTAAACTTGATCAACATAAAATATTAAGACCAGTGCTACTAATCAGCTGGTCACTAAATACCCATGACTAAAGAAATCTTACTGGGAGCAACAAAATAATTGTAGAAAACAATTAATAAAAATGCACAAATACTCCCATGTATCCATTAACTGAAAGATAAATTAACATTCAGTACTTGCTTATCTTAAACTTTTCTTTCATAATAAGGGCAACTTTTGCAAAGATGAACTGTATGGTTTTTTCCCTCCCAGAGGGTATGATTTTTTGATTTAGAGAGAAAAGCTGAGAAATGCAAATCTGAACTGTGCTATGTAGACACCACAGCATTGTGGTAAAATACACAGACGAAACCATTTGGACTGATACATTTTGTTTTACTTGTTTATTACTTATTTGTTTGTTTGCTTTAATTTAATTACCAGCAAAAYTGGACAATTTTAAGTTATGTGAAAATGAAAAGAATGCCTATGGCAAGGTGAAACCTACCTATGAAATATCACTCATCAGTACTTAATCTGAAATTCATATTGATCCATAGTAAAACTGTTCATGCTCTATCTTCATTCAAGGTCTGAGATCAACACACACATCTAACCAAGAGCTAACTCCAGTCCTAATTTTCGAATTTATTTCTATTTTGTGTAATTCTGGTGTTTCTATACTCTCTGGGAATGGCAGATTGCATCCTCTGTGTTCATGAAAGSATCTAAAATACTTTAAGTAGCATGCAAATAGAATCGAACAGAAAGATAAGGTGAAATTTTAAAGACAGGTCCAAAGAGGAGACAAATCAATTCTTTTTTTGAAGACATAACTTACATATCTGGTCCTTCAATATCATCCACAACCCAAATGACAATTTTGGAGATATTGCCTTTCTGGAAATTTGGTATTTCGTAATCTGCAAAAAAACTGATTCAAKAAAAAAATAATTTAGAACTATAAAGAACATGAAAATGAAATAGGTTTTTCCTCCTTTGCATTAACAAAGGCTCTGATCCTGCTGTAGGATCTGGGCTTGCACAACTTTTTATCTTCAGATTACAATCAGGCTCAACACAGACTAGAAAAATCTGATTCACGTTCTAAATGTCCTCAAAGGTTAAAGGGATTTAAAGATTTGTTTTCATGTTCATCTTAGAGGAACTCAGACAAAAAAAGTTATCACCTAAAAGTGAACCAGCATGAAGTGAAATTTTAAAAATGCAAAAACAAAACAAAAAGTACTTGATACTTCCTCATAATATCTAATCTAAGAAGATATGAAATGCAAAGATTGATTTTATTGTCTGTAGATTGACTTTTTTTTTTTTGTGAGATGCAGGCATTTCAAATCCACAGATTTCTAATCCTTTCAGCAAGATGTGGTGTGATGATTTCCAACCTTTCACGCCTTTTTTTCCTCAGAATGCTTATAAAGGCTGTGTCCTCACTGAATGCTTGGTCCAAGTCTGGGCCTAGGTGAGTCCTCTAATTTGCAAATTTGCCTATCATGTGTCTTCTAAAATGTCTATATCAGCACTACAGTGCCTCTTAGCCCTTTTAWATGTTCTGAGACCTCCACAGAGAAGAAGGGACTGTTAGTTGCTACTTTCTGGATGAGACCAGCAGTGACAATGTGGCTCTGCCATGGAAACACAAGATGGGTTGGTTGCCAGTGCCTGTTGGTTCATGAAGTTAGCAAGTTATTTTAAACTTCTGGAGAAGAGGAACAGGAGGAGGCAGACACCAAGAGTTGCCTCCTCTGGGTAAGTTTGTCACGGCAGTGGCTGCCCAGAGATCAGTAACAGCAACAGCAAGTTTGCCTATCTGTTCAAGGTGTCCAAGCCTGTCAARCACATAGTGAAAATATAACAAAAAATAAAAATTCTAACTCATTTACTCATTCATGCATATGCTATTGCCAGAAGAAAAGAAGCTTCCTCTGAAAGTTCAATARATCTTTAACTAGAGACTCAGAAACAGTGAAGAAACAATGTACAATGTACAACTGACTTCAGTAAAACGAGTTTCTGAACTGGTTATATTATAAAAGAAGTCTGCCAAGTAAATTCATACTGTGTGAATGAGCAAAGTTATTTTGCTGTGAAATGAAAAATACATCTTAACTGAAATGGTATCAGGTGATTTAATGATKATTTAAGTGTACAAACTTTAAAGCTGGATAAACTTTGAAAGAGGCTTTGAAATACCTGAAAACAGACCAGAGAAATTGTTAGGAAGACAGGCAGATCTTTCAGATGACCTTCTGCTATTAATTATTCAACTTTCAACCTCTTTCAAACATGACCTCTTAAACAAATTCAGTCATAAATGGACCAGAAGATACACAGCAAAGAAAACAGATGGAGTAACTGGCTTTGTTTTCTCCTTGGCAGGCTGTGTTCCAGTGGTGATTTCACTGGTTAAAATAGCACCAGACTGGCATCCTAGGGAACTGGTGGAATTAATATGTCTGTAAGACGTTTCTGAAATAAAGACTCTGTAAATTAACAGAAATAAAGAATCCATTTCTGAAACAAAGAATATATACAAGATTCTGGGTATGTGCCTTCTGCCAGCTATTATTATCTGCAGAAGATTTGACCCCAGCTGAACACCTGATCAGCCAAGGAGACTGTGTAAGCCTTTGTGATTAGCTGAAAGCTGTATACAGAGATAGAGCTTTTGGGGGACAGAGGTAAGTAGTTAGTAGCTGTTTTGGAAAAAGTTGTTCTTGTTTTTCTCCTATTTAGAGATAAAACTGCCTTTTCAATAGTCATTTCTAGTCCTCAGTAAACACACAGGAGGAGGATCTCTTCTATGGGTTTTTTAAAGATGTAATTTTTTTGATGTGCCTTGAACAGGACAGGCACTGATGAAAGGAGTAAAAGGGACTGACAGATGACATAAGCAYTAGGAGGAACCTTTTAGAAAATGTYACTGATTGACACAGAATGTTGCTCATCCAAGGCCTGTGTTAAATTCCTGAATTTAACGAAGAAGAATAGAGATACAAAAATAAAAAGGGAGGAGTGTATATTGGAGGGGGTCATTAGTAGGCAAATAGGGAAGTCTGTACCTTAGCCAATGGGGAAAGGGAGAGGACAAAGCAGCCAGGAAATAAAGGAGGTGGTGTCCTCCAAAGATTTGAGAGATCCCTGCATTTTTAATAAAGTTATAGGATGTCTCTATCTATTTTTTGGACACAAACCTCTGCCATCATGAATTCTTCTGCACACTAAGGTAATGAAAGATGTCTTTTTTAACAAAGCTAAGCAGTCACTACAGACACATGATAAAAGTTCTGAAGGATGAACTTTGACAATAAATATTGAATGTAAGCTTAGAGGAACTTCAGCATGGTGGTACAGTTCTTAATCAGGGAAAATATACCCACCCTTAGTATAAAAGGAACTACAGAGAAGAGGAAGATCATCTTTGCTATTATCCTTTTCAACAAGCTTGTTTTTATTATGCGTTCTGAARCCATAATGGATTTCAAACTACTTCCTCTCTTGGTTGTGGAGGAGTACTTTTCCTTTAGATTTGACCAAGTTTGCTCCTAGGCCTGAGAGAAGCTACACTACTTGTAATAATATCCTGAACTTGGCCACGTCCCCRAAGAGAAATTTTGCTAACACTCAACTTTTTGGAGACATACACATTTTGCCACAGCATACTGGCTGACTTAAATGCAGCTTTCAAAGAGCATTCACCCTGCTTGCCACAGCCGTTTGTAAAATGAAGGAGCCAAAATGACTGTCTCCATCCATTTTATATTAATTYCTTCAGCTAGGGACAATTAACAGTTGTTCTCACAATTCAGAATTCTTTGATGCAACAGATTCTTTCTGGTACACATCCCATGCTTTGTGCAGCACAAGACATAAATAACTGTCTTATGTTTTGGTTTTTTTTTGTAGCCATAAATCAGTCAGTTTTCTTACCCTGGCTGCGGAAAAGCTCCTCCATCTGCAGAACCATTCAACAAGACATGTATCACCCCAGAGCTCTGCTGTGCATACTGCAATAGATAACAACRTTTCTCAGAACTCACATATTTGTCACATTACTTGCTATTTTATAGCAAACAACAATGACCAAGGAAATAATTTTACCATGAAAAATATCAGAACTGCAAAAATAATGTTGGTCTAGCACCCTAGCAGGTCACTGCAGTAAAAAAGACAGGAACTCAACAGGCCATGGTTTAATTCATTGAATCTTTTCAAGCTGTTTCTCACATCTATAAACAGTTTCTTCAGCACAGGAAGAAAACATTTTGGCATTCCATGTTGAGTTTGATCTCTGAGTAAAGGGTTTTCAGCAAGGCTGTCAAATGTCACTTAGGATCTGTAATCAGTAGACAATCAGTGTGCTTATTGTGCTTAGTATATGTTTTATATTAACAAAGCTAACAAGAATTTTAACACATTATCTAGCGAAGGTGAAAGTTAGTGCTAAAACACTGCAGCCAGTTTAAAACAGTGTATTCGTATCAGAGGAAACAGTCCAGCACAGTTACAGGTTTAAATCTGTTTTGAACTGGCAATATTTTCCTGAACTGGCAATATTTTCCTGAACCCCAGACACACTCGTGGATGTATGAAGTCAGCACTAATAGACAATTTACTGTGATTGAGGCCATCCTCCAGAAAGATTCCACTGCATTGTTTTCACATTCCATCGTGGTAGGGCAGGATTCATAGTCCAGTCCTGTAGGAAGACATGTGATTTGTGCTATTAGAGAAATTATAATGGCTGTAAAAAGTGATCTTAGAAAGCAACTAAATAAATTTTTGCATGACCCACTGAACCCATAAGATGGTTTGGCATAGCAGTGAAAGTTGACTGTGTAATTTTTTCAATAATTTTCCATCCTTTGTAGTTTACACAAACAGTGACATTCTGTGGATTCAGTAATTTGGTTGAAATTGTTCTAACTCTGTTCCTGGGATGCAGAGAGCTCCAGGTTCAGATGACTGAAAAGGTTTATCTTCACTGCAGCACCACTTAGATTTCAGTGTGCTCCCCTGACTGCAGTGTTAAATATTAACACAATACAAGAGAGAATGAGACAGTGAAGCTATCCCTGTTTTTTCAGGGGGTAAGAGAAAATTTAGTTTCTCCAGAACACAGCAGTCGTTCTCCATTATGGTTTTACAGACAAATGTTTAGTATAGCACTCATTGTCTTACCAGGGCTGTCTGCCTGACCACACCAGTTTAGAAAATCTCCAACGAAGCCAAACAGAGTRTCACCCAGAGACATGTAGCGACGTCCTCTGGCAGAAAAGCTATTGACTAGTAGCTGATTATTTTCCCAAAAGAGAGACTATGTAAAAATAGGAAAAAGAGATATAGAGACGAAATATATCAACACTTGGGTGTGGACATAATGAAGTTATGAGGTGTTGAAAACAGTTTAAAATATGTTTGGGTATTCCTTTCAAAATCAAGCACTAAYCAGAAATATTAGCTATCTGTTTGAAGGAACAAAGTTTTTTATTTTACAGGGTGTAAATTCTCATCACAAGAGACTTGAGGGACACTAATACTTTGATGAGATGGGATATAGACCTATTTTAAATACAGTTAGGCCTAGCCTTGCCTGCCTGAGCAGACAGATTTAGGGGAAGGAGGAAAAAAGGAAGATATTTATAAGCCAGATATACATTACCAGAAATCTCTCACATTGCTGTGTTAGCTTATGGTGTGAAAAAAATCATATGTCTAGATGTTATTTCTGTGTTTGTATAAYTCTTCATGAATTAAGCTATGTTGATAGCAGTATTTGTTGGTTTAACTTGTATCATTTAGAAATGAGGAATAAYTGTGCTAGAGGAAAAACTGCTTTAAAGTATAACGTGCCTTTTGCACTTCCACAGTTCTCTGCCAGCACATCAAACCCTTCCTGTTTTCTGGCACAGAACAATGACCCCTCTCATTTCTGCTTTTGTTTGTTCAGTGTGTCAGTGTTTAACATGACATTGTCATGRGACCTAGCTTTGGGGAGTAAAAGCAAAAGATGATAGAAGGCACAGCCTTTTGCAGGCAGAGCACCTAACTTGAGGAAAAGTGTAAATTCAGGGATTATGGCAGAGCTCCCAGCACAGCAGGAAAAAGGAGGATCTCTGTAGTATGAAGAGAGACGCTGCTGAGAAGTTACTGCATAAAATAAACTGAGCCAAACATACTGAAACATGCTATCAAGTCTCAGTCTGGTTTACAAACYACAGAAGGGTCAAAAACAATGACTCACAAGTCAGCCACAGAATGACTCATCAATTTTGAACTGTGTGACGGAAAATCTGTTGTATGTCACAGGGCAGTTAACATAAAAAATCATTACCCATTACCTTGTTAGGTGGAATCGTGTGCAATGACAGGTTGATAAATAATGCATAATCCTTAGGTAAAATGCTGCAAGGATCCTTGTTAATAAATGCATYTTTAAATGCTTCCCATATCTGTGAACAATTCTTCTCACTGTAATCATTGAAACAAACAAATAGCAAAATTGTTTTTTTCRAAGCAAAGCAAGAAAGTTATTTGTTCTTAACTCCTTCAAATACCCAAATTAAAATCCCTATAAGGATATGGCAGAAAACTGRAGTCAGGGTGGTAAGAAACTTGTAGGTCAGGAAGAGCACGGAGATCTTGTCCTCTGAGTCATAATTGCAGCATATAAGGAAGAAGCAGCAAGAAAAATACTAGCACAATTTGCAGTGTGAAATTAGAAACACATTATGATTCAACAAAAATCTTAGTAGATATGGTATACACAGTGAATTTGATATCCAGCACTCTGGAAATACTGAAGCAAAAGCTTTCTTTGAAATTACCCAGATTCAAAAAGCCACTTCAAATAAACCATAGCTAAATATCCAAAACTGTTGGAATGCAATATTACTCTTAAAATGTCATTCAAGTGCAGGATGAGTTGCTAAAAAGTTTTGATGGCCAAATAACTATTTTGACAAAGAGGTGCCTTCTGTTTGTAGGCCCTAGGACTGTGTGGCTTTATGTTGCTGGAATGAGAACAGTGACCATGTGTACACTGTCACTGTGCAGTAGCTACAAGAACTACAAGAATATTGTTGGCATTCAGCACTTGAAGAGCTTGTGAAAGGAGGCCTGAAGTAAGATGCAAGGCTGTGCACTCCAGCATTTTCCTTCTGGCAGCTCTGTCTTGGGGACAATAACCTCCATGTAGGGACAAGACATCTGCAGATGGAAGTGTCCWGTCTCTTTGGATTTTCAGGATTTCATCTGTCGCAGCTCTAAGCCTGCCTGGAGTAATTAAGAAGGGAATTCCTACTTTCACCACTTTTTCACAGTACCTTGCCCACATAACACTGTGACAGTGCCACAAACACTCTGCACAACAGAATAATTATGTTATGTGCAYACAGCCTTCCTAACATGAACAGCTCTCAGTGCAAAGCTCTAGCTTGAAAAACAGTAGTCCTGATAAATAAACCAAACGTTAYCATTGCAATATTTTGCTCATTTAATATCACCCAAAACCAGCACGGTTTCTGCTGGTACAAGTTCTTTAAAGACACTGAATGCCACAGACACTTTCAAGGACCCTTTGTGATGAGCTATGCAGGAAACAGACCACAAATTTTCTTACAGTAATCTCTGGTTATGCTTCTGACAGCTATATTAAAATTGCCTATATACTGTAAGCAGATATGGATCTTGACCTGAAAATTTTCAGTGATGCAATATGATCCCTGATCAGTACTTCTAAGATTTAGAAGTACTTCTAAGATTTAAATTGATATACTTAATWAAAGGATTTGCACCCTATTTCTGATTTCAAGGTGCTTTACTTTAGCTYCTGACAATTGTATATACTTACACTTCATTTTGCTAAAGAGCTTTCTACTTGAAGCACTTATGCTAGTACTTGTAAGTTAAGATCAACTGAACTTTTAACATCTTTCTTGATGGTTGAATCCATCAGTAATTTTCTGATTAATTGACATATTGCTTTTTTTTTTTCCCATGACTTCTCATCTGGGTTTGAACAGCTTGTAAATCAAAAGGATTATTCTGCTCTGACACTCAAAACTTCTTAGATGGCAAAAATACTTATTGAAACTACACGGTGGGGAAGGACTGCGGCTCAAAACAATTCCTTCTAATCTTAATAGACACAAATCATATTAGATTAATTTCATACTAGTTAGTTAAAAAAAAAAAAAAAGTTTTTAAAGCTTCCATGATATGCTACAAATAAACAAATGTGGAGGAAAAGCACCAGAGGAACATTTGTGTTATATAGCATACTCCTGTTAGGAAATGTCAAATACRATCTTAATTCAAATTCCTCACTTCTACATGGCCACAGCATTTTTAAAATGTCTCTTTTAACTGTGATTTTGCATATTGTGTTTTAACATGCACAAAAGTTTTTCTTATGATCCTTTAAACATCTTTATGCTTTAATTGTGTTGCACTGTAAAGACATGTTTTTCTATCTTCATTTATGAGTAAAGTATTTTTAGAAAATTTGCACATAAATTCAGAAGGAGAACCTATCCATGTGGCCATGCATCTGTAAAAGCTAGTCAGGGGGCAACTAAGAAACAGAAAATGAACAGAAAGGGCTATAAATAATTAGAATATCTGTTTTGCAACTGTGCACTATGAAATTTCCATTTTGTTTGGATTACATTATTTGCTTATAGACCTAAAGGAAAGAGAAAAGTCCCCACATCATAGGAAATTGATTGTGTAGCTCTTCTTTTAATATTTGGCCTGAATTCAGGAAAGTGGTCCTAATGTCCTGCCTGGGTTCATGCTATGCTGAGCAAGAATACTTTGATGAAGATGTTCAAACTTCTCAATTTTAAAATTATATTGTGAAATTGTCAGCAGAATTCATTAAATCACAAAACTATCACAAACATGAGACATATAGAAATGCTTTCCAGAAGATTGTATTTACATCTCTAAAATATCAGATCAGTTAACAATAAACATAATACTTCCACAGTAACTATCCTTTATGTTGTTCATTTTAGCATATTCTGTATTATTATTCATGACCTGTTTCAGATGTAAATGAAGTGATATCTGTTGAGTTGTGCAGGAGCTCTATCTACCCAGAGCCCAATGCAAGACCAGGTTACCCACACAACTGTCAATTAAGTTAATGTATTCAATATTTTATATTATATTGTAGGTGTGTAGAAATCTACACCTAAAGTTTACTTCCACCTTCCACTGTGACATTCTTATAAATTTGCTGGAACTGTTCTGCTGAAATTCAAGTACTTTGTTATTTTCATTAGGATTATCTTTTCCTTCATAAGGAACTTGAAAGAAAACACTTCTGGTAAGTTAAGAATGTTATTGGGCAGAAATACACTGTTTTGTCTTCGTTAAAAGCAACAAATTGCTTTACATCCTCTATCTTTCTGTTTTGCAACAGGAACTGAAAATAGGAAGTTGGGGAAATGAAATTATATTTACAATATAATCTAACCCTATTTAAGAYAGAAATTCAATGTTGCAGGAACCCAGCCAGGTTCTCCCTGCAAATACTTCTTCACACTATTAGGACAACTTTTTAGTGGCAAAATAAAGGGCTGAACTCTAGGAGACTCTCTTTCTTATTTTTTTACTGAAGCCCTTACAATGCAAGGAAGACAGAAAAGTGCTCATTTAGCAAAACATGTGATTTATGTCCAGCGTAATTAGCACAGCCAATGAAAGCTCACAGATAATGGTGCTTAGCTGTTGATATTTTCAGGTGGATGAGTTAAACAGTTTCCTTCAGTACCCCAGGATAGCTATAAAGTGAGGTGCTCCCCTCCTGCCATGACCTAACATACAGGCATGCAAGGCAAAGCTGGTCTTCCCAGGAGCACTGTCAGATTTGGTACTTCAAAAACACCATTCCTGTCATTTCCATGTGGTATTCTCCTCACACAACAGTAAGAGGGGAAAGGGAGGGGGGAGAGAGGGGAAAGAAATGTGAGATAAAGAACTGAAGGGTTAAAAATCGTGCCCTAATTACACTACTTAAAATATGACATCCATCAAAGTTAATTTTTGTTTCCAGACAGCTACAAGCATGTTGGCATCAATAGGATCATTTCAAGAGCTAGGAGCATAACATCAGGCTTCTGATTAATAACTATTTTGTACAGGTATAAAAATTAAACCAGAAACAAACAAAACTTACCCAACAGCAGGGTTTACAGTTCTGATATAATCATAGCATCTTCCAATGACAATGTTTTCCAGATTTTGAGTTGTACCTTCACCTTTCCATTTCTTTCCCTGCACTCCTGAGAAGCTGCTCATAAACAGAACAGAGACAAGTAAAAGAGGCAAAAAAAGGCTCATCATGATGAATTTTTGATAATCCAAATTCTTAAAAGAAAAAAAAAAAGAAATAAAAATAGGAGAGTTCAGTGACACAATTCAAATGGAGACCTGCAGTTTTTAAAGTTTAATATTTTTTTCAGTACTAGCTACAGCTCTGTACACAAAAGACAGAGGCGGAAAAATAAACCTTGCTGGGAACTACAACCTAACTGTTTCCTGGAACGATTGCAGCAAGCACAGGGATACATCACTTCCTCGTGTTTAAACTATTCCCCCTTCGGAAAAAATAAGAGACATTTAAGGCCACCTGGTGATAAATGAGGAGAATTGCAGTATATTTCCCTAAAGGAAAAAAAAGACCCTTACCACTTGAGTGCTTAGRATGCCTTTGGTTCATCTACTACTCATTGCTGCGCTACACCTTCCAAAACAATCAACAAGTGCTTGCAAGCAACATGTTTTAAACTAGTTTCTTTTCATTTTAAAAGGACTATACCTTTTGCACCTATTTCTCTAATGGTTGGGAAAGAAATGCTGAAACACATATCAACAACAACAACAAAAATCTAAAATATGCAGGTACAGTAATGACAGCATAAATACCCAAGCCCGCCAGTTATCTTGTATCACATGTAGGGGTAACATTAGTCAGCTCTTTTTCCATCTCTCCCCTGGATACTGACAGTGACATTTTGGTGTGATGATATGTGCATCATGTCTTTGTGAAAAAAAACTGCCTTGCAGTCATATATCAATCATAACGAGAAACATAAGGACTAAGACTTGTATCCTGTGCACTGAACAAATGTCTTCTACTTCTGCTGTCATTTTCCTCCAGGTTCTTTTTCCCAAGTACTCTGTTAGAWCATTAAATTGCACCATTCAATCTAATCTTCAGAATAAACATTCGGTGGTATACACTGCTGCAAATAAAACCACTCTAATTTTTTTCCCCTTCAAAAAATATAAAATAAAAAAAAATCAACCTCTGAGAATTTTGTTCATGAACTCACATTTCTGAGGAGAATACTGGTTCTTTTCTTTCTTTCTATTAAGTGTCTGTACCTCAGGAATATATTATAAGTATATTTATTTAARTAGTGTCATGCTTACATTGATGCACTGGTACTCAGCGGGTGGATTTTGCTAAGGGAAAAATTCTGTAATCATTAATTATCACTAATCATAAACTGTTGATGATGGATTTCTGTTGTAAATGTGATAGAAAGATAACTAATTGGTTTGCTATCTACAACAGTCTTCAGAAAAGCCAGATTTATTCAGAAATGGATATGCAATCCTGTGCTTGATATGGTGGAGAAATAGGAAATTACCTACTTAACTCCTGTTACTTCTCTAATTCCTTTTCTTCCTATTTCTCTTCCTAACTTCCCTATGTCCATGCTGATAGAGCACCAGTACATTAATCAAATTGTTTCAAGCCACTGCTTTGGATTGAGAGAGTGTAATAGTGCATGGAAGTCACTGAATATTTTCTTTCATTATCACCTTTGCTGCAGCAAAATTTTGCTCAGTAATTTCARGGTCTAACAGAAAGCAGAGGCATCACTTATGTGATCTTCGATACAGAAATGTGCAGAAATTGTCACTGATTTTTTGCACCAAGGCTAAAACTTTTGCTTAAAATATACAGTGTGAGTTAAGAAGTCATAAAGACATACTGAGTTTTCYCCAAGTACATACTAGGTTACAATGCAGCATCTTGGGGTAGAAGGTATGGGGTCTCTAAAAGATAGACAACCTCTCACAACATCCCAGAGGAAYTGGATCCAAGATTTGCTGGGATCCCCATTACAACCCCTGTCATGCTTCCTTTCCCCACTGGCCACTCTGGGAACACATCAGAACAGAAGGGCCTCTGACCTGACTCAGAGCAGCCATTTTTAATTTATATTCTTAGTCTTGTTTGAAATACTTCATATGATGGCTAAACTAACACAGCTTCAGGAAAATTGCTCCAGTGGTTTGATAGCCTTGAGAGTCAAACCTGAGCTCTGTTCTGAACTTGTCTACTTTTAGCTTCCAATCATTGACTCTCATGATGTCTTTTTCTGTTACTTTAATGAAAAATCCATCCTCAGAAGCTTCTCTTCACGTAAATTCTTTTTAAAAATTGCCAAGTCTCCCCTTAAACTAGTCCATGAAAATTCAGTATTTTAATCCCACTATCAGGTAATCTCTCTTGTAATATTGTAATTCACTGCCACAAACTGGCTGCCCATCTTGCCTCCTGAGGTCTGGCAATTCGTGCTGGATGCAGATCCCTGTTCCTTGCTCTTTGTCCCTCTCTGCTGGAAGAAGTTATTGCCCTCTCTCCTAGAAGAAATTATTGCCCATGAAGCAGTCAGAAAATTGGCAGCACACCTTCTCTGGAAATCCTGTCRCTCACAACTGAATATTAACCCAAACAACCATGAAATTCAGCATCTGTTTACATYCTGAAGCCCCAGAAGATGAGAATCCAACATGTTCTCTCTTGTTATTTCTACCAGAAGGGAGTGTAATAGGGCGGTGTAACAGGTGGCGATGTTAATCCTCTGTTACTACTCAAGCATGAATTTCTGGCAGAATAACCTCAGTTTTGTATCACTACATTGCTTTAAGGCCTGGAAACAGGATCTCAAAAGGGCTCATAAGCTCCTCTGTGAGCAATGAAATTCAAACATTGTTTCTTAAGGGTTTGTGTCTTTGTGCACAAGTCTGTCTACAGCAGTAACAGAAGGTCTCGCCCACTGCCTTATATGCCAGGGCACACTCTCTGCAAAAGACACAGTCCAGCCCAAAAACAGAGCTCTGCTTACTAGCCAAGCAGTAAATACAGCTGTGTGCTGGCTAGCCAGCTGCATAACACCTGTGCTTTGCTTCGGTTCTTCCGTTGTGTATAACTGCTTTTTTTTTTTTTTTTTTTTCCCCCCACCCCGAAGTCGTAACAATTTAACCTTCCAAGGTTTGTACATAATTGCAAATAAGGCTAAGTAGGTCAGTGTGTTCAGAAGTCCTTTGAGGTGAAAAGGATTCATGGAAAAGGAAACACCCAACACCACAATTGCTTAAGCCTCATTTCCTCAGATAAAGAGATAAAAAGATTATTGTGCAGTGTCAGCTAGGTAACCCTCATAACATGATCTCTCCTTCTCAGTTCACTATTTATTACTTTTACCAGCATTTTATTCCCAAGCATTASTATGTTGAAGAATACTAGACTAAAAACTGATGTGACTTTGCTCAGAATATTTTAACATGTTTACAGTGAATTGCTTACAYCTATAAACTAGCTAGGTCTAATACATTTAGTGTCTGCAACATAGATTTTGTGCAGTAATAGTTTTCAGTCAGGAAGGCCTGCTGTATCTGTTTTATGTTTGACAATGTATTTTTGTGGCATTTACTAAACAATGCAATGCTGGTCCAACAGCTTTACTACCGTACACATTGGCTCACAGTTACACCTTTTGATAAATCGATGTGCTATCTCAAATCTGCCAAGTGTTCCTGTTTATTTTGAAATGTTACACAAGCAGATCAGTATCACAGGCAAGTGTTTCTGGTCCATTTGCCTTGGATGTTACACAAACACATTTAACTTGTTTGGTACGAATGCTGCAAAGGTTGGGTGCAGGTTTCCTGCTGCAGTCCAGTTTAGGACCCATCATACATCTTCCCTCACAAACCCCGGTTCATCTGCCCACACCTGCTTTATTCCTGATGTTGTTATCATCTCCTCAGCATATTTCAAGTGTTTACTTCATGTAAATGCACGCATTTAGTTCAGTTTCTGTAATCATTGTGTTTTACAGCATAGCAGGTTTCTTTCAGCTCCTAGCTTCTCATGGTTTTCTAGCTGAGTAAGCAAGAGGTGTTGTTTCTCTTGCTGCAAAATACAAATAAAACCTTMCTTYAGAAATGYTGTCTCAATAYCAGCAAAATGGTACYGTAAATTTCATACTGYTGTRYACACAAATAGCTTTCCTAGGAGCTTTCTTGATGAAGTCACACTGCAAGTCCTGTGTCCAGTTTGGGGCCCCTCAATTCAGGAAGGATATTGAGCCCAAGTCCTGTGAGGAGCAACTGAGGGAGCTGAGGGTGCCTAACCTGGTGAAGACTCAAGGGTAACCTTACTGCTCTCCACAAACACCTGAGAGGAGGCTGCAGCCAGGTGTGGGGCAGTCTTTTCTCCCACACAAACAGCAAYAGRACAAGAGGACACAGTCTGGCTTCAGGGAAGGCAGAGGTTGGACGTTAGGCAGAATTTCTTTACAGAAGGGGTTATTAGACATTGGAATGGACTGCCCAGGGAGGTGGTGGAGTCACCATCCCTGGAGGTGTTTAAGGTAAGACTAGACGTGGCACTCAGACAAGGTACTCTTCGGTCACAGGTTGAACTCCATGACATCAGAGGTCTTCTCCGACAAGACTAATGCTGTAACTTGTTTTTTACATCAACGAGCTACTCCCGTAGCGTTGCCAAAGCACCGGATTTGAAGGCGGGCAGTAGGGTAGCTCACTTGCAGGGCCCTGAGGCTGTGACTCGGGCAGGGAGCTCACCGCACCCCGGGCACCCCAATCCAGACCCCCGTCCCCAGGCTGTGACTCGGGCAGGGAGCTCCCCGCACCCCGGGCACCCCAATCCAGACCCCCGTCCCCAGGCTGTGACTCGGGCAGGGAGCTCACCGCACCCCGGGCACCCCAATCCAGTCCCCCGGTCCCCAGGCTGTGACTCGGTCCGGGAGCTCCCCGCACCCCGGGCACCCCAATCCAGTCCCCCGTCCCCAGGCTGTGACTCGGGCCGGGAGCTCCCCGCACCCCGGGCACCCCAATCCAGACCCCCCGTCCATAGCCGGGCTCGGCGCCGCCGCTCCCCGTGCCAGGGGCGGGCCCAGCCGCGCACGCGCGGGCCGGCGGGCGCGGTCACGCGGGGCGGGCGCACGCGCGCTGCGGATGCTCGCGCCGCCGTTCGCGCCGCCAGGAGCGGCGCGGCTCCATGGGGAGAACATGGCTCCCTTCCCCGAGGAGGTGGACGTGTTCTCCGCCCCGCACTGGCGCATGAAGCAGCTCGTGGGGCTCTACTGCGACAAGGTAACGGGCGGGGGCGGCCCCCGCGCCGCTGCCCCGGGCCGGGAGGGAGGGTTTGGGGAGTGCGCAGCTGTCAGCGCCCCGGCCCCGCCGGCAACTTGTGCCCTGCGCTGCCTCGGGGTTCGCGGGCCCCTCCCGGGCTGCCGGTGCCGCTCCGCGGCCGCGCCGGGCTCGGGCTGCCCTCGCTGCCCTGCACTGCCTTGCCGGGTCGGCCGGTGGGCTCCGTGTCCCCATCCGCCCTGCACGGAGGGGCGGTGGTGCCGCGCAGGGRGCGCCCCCGCCTCCCTGGGCACCCCGGCAGAGCCGCCCGCGGGCCTGGTGCTCCCCCTGGGCGGGCAGCGCGGCCCGGCCGTGTTTGTCAATCAGCCGGGCCGGGCAGGGCATGGCGCGGGGCGTGCTGCCCGCTCACGGTCTGCAAGGGACCGTGCTTGAGGTTCTGTGCACAGCCTT